AATATTCATCAGAATTCTTTCAAATTTGGTATTTTTTAACAGAATTTTTAACGGGTTTTATTGTTTTTGAGAATTGCTAAATTCGTTCCATATGGTGGAGGGTATTCAAAGGTCGGCCAGGCCGAACTTACAGCTTTTTTACTTGTTTTACTTAACACAAATGTTATGGTCTATTTCACCCACTAAATATTACCCAACTAAATATGGAAGACTTCTGCCCAGCCTTAAGCTCTAGCCCCATGTTAACTTCCGCGTCGATTGGTCTATAATTGCGACCTGTAGAGCAACTGAAAAATCAGGAAAATTTTCAGTTTTTGGTCCATTTCAATCCCAAAATATTATGTGATCATCCAAAATAACAATAGACTTCCATTCTGGCCCTAGCCCCACCTCCATTCCAAAATTCGTAAAGATTGGGCCATAATCCCACAGGTCGCGATTATGGCCCAATCTTTACGAATTTTGGAATGGAGGTTTTTGGAGTGATTACAAATTAACATGGACAGACGGACAGAAGGACGGACGGACATATATAGCTAGATCGACTCAGCTCGGCGAGATAGAAATATACTATAATTTGTGGGAAACCAATATTTCGAGGTGTTACATAATTTTTGGCCCAATCAAACTTACAATACCCCCAACAGATAGTGTTGTAGGGTATAATACAAACATTATAAATGGGTTTAACCCTAACAATGTAGAAATAACATACAGTCCACAGGGAGTAAGAGATACACATTATTCCCTATAACTTGAAAACAAACATTGTCGTTGAATTTTTGATCGTACTTCGTTGTCATAGCTATCTTATAAATGTTTCATCCGCCCCTATATTTAGGCATTCTAAAAGTCCGAGTATTCAGTGTGAATAGATTCAGATTAATGCAAAAAGGTACTAAAAATGTAATATTTTGTATTGGAAAAAAGGTATAAACTAGAATTGGATTGAGATTCACTGATGGAATGCAGGATTGTTGTGGCAGAGGTTTATTGGAAACGCAAATTTTAAATTAACGAAAAGTTCTAAAATGTTACTAAAATCCTAAAATTTTACCATTTGGCGTTATGTGAGCGGATAAAGCTAAAAACTTGAAATTTGGTATCAGAATCAAAGTTGCGGAGTAAGTTTGATATATGAAGATGGTTTTGGAAATGTGTACTAGTGTGCGAACTATACTAAGTGTCGATCACCTACACTTTGATATTTTTTAGTGCCAACCTTGCTTTCCAAAATACTCCAGACACAGTAGTCCAACGGATTGGTTCCGGAGATTTTGGTGGCCATTGTGCGCTAGAAATGAAGTGAGAAACCTCAATTTGTAACCACTCTTGGGTGGTGCGTGCTGAGTGCTGAGTCCTGTTGGAATATCCAAGGTCTGCGGCCAAAATTTTTGCGTGCCCAAGGTTTTAATACACCCTCCAGAATATTTTCGTGATAATATTCGGAATTTATTCTGAGTTACGGTCGATTAATACGAGCGGCGAGCAACAATCGGCTGTTATGGCGGCCCACACCGTCACCATGGCCGGTGCTTGAGTTCTGGTGGCCAACCGAAGGTTCACACTTTCAGCTGACCTCTTTGGTAAGTAAACACGATAATTTTGTTTGTTTACAAACTGCTGGACAAAGAATGTTTTCTCATCGGAGAAAACCAAATTCGGCAGTTCAACACTTCGGTCAAGCGAAGCAACTCTTCAGCTCTTTTGAGTCTATTTTCTTTCAGTTGCGGTGTAAGTTCTTGCGCTTTTTGGATTTTCAATGGCTTTACTCCGAGCTCATTTTTCAATATTTGCCGAATGTAATATTGCGATATGTTCAGCTCACAAGCCATTTTTCGGCCACTGCGATGTGGGTTTCGATCAAGTTGCTTCTTTACTTTTCGAACCATTTCTGCTGATGTTGCTGTTTGCTTCCTTCCACTTCCTTGACGTCGGTCACGGTAACAAGCGATGGTACGAGATACAAAAGATTTATTCACATTTAAATGTGGAATGTTCTAACAATATCCACTTGTGCTTTTTCAGCCAAAATATAAAGAAATCACACTATCAAGCTTGAATTCCATCACGAATAACTTTTTTTTCTGGAAAATTCTCACCAAAATGCTTTTGTACGTTTGTTAACCATATAATGAGCTGTCGCTGGAATAATTTTAACAGCTGTCGGACGAGTGGCTTAGAAATTACAGCAGTCTGAAGTTGGCTGCAGTTCTTGCATCTCACCCTGTAATTGTACGAAAAGTACTGAATAGTACTATATATGGTATTGAATGAAGGGATAGAGATTAAAGTAAGTACTAAATGGCCCAAAAATTTGCTATCGGGTGAAGATAGCGCTGGAATCTCCAAATTTAATATTGATGTCGCTGGTAGTATCTGGAATTGCCATATGGATGTGGTTTTAGAACTGCGCGCTGTGAGGGCTAAGTACTTAGTTTGATATGGATGTGACTTTTGGTGCATGCAGTTGAGAGAAGGAACTGATTTGGAATCGTACTAAATTTGGTAATGGGGGAATTAAAAATCCTGAAATTTGATATTAATTGAATGTTTTTATCTGAGGTTGGGGAATGGAGATTGTTTTGCAATTGGGAACTATCATTGTACAAAAAGTATAGATTGCTACTAAATTTGGAATTTGGTGAAGTAATAGAAATGGAATCCTGAAAATTGATAAAGAGTTGGATTTGTAACTGCGCACTACAATTGTAAATGGATCCAAATTTGGTAAAGGGAAAAATTACAGTTCGGCCATTTTACTTCGAAAATGTGCAACGAGTGGCAATTACGTTATCGGAATATATTGAAAAATTGTTAATCTCAAAAATTAAAGAGGTTGATATTACCAGCATTTAGTTTCAACAGGATGGCACTGCGTACCTCAAAGCCGATGCTACATTAGATGATTTGTGCGCTCTTTGTGTAGACGCAGAGCTGATGTCGGTTGGCCACCTTGGAGCCGCAAATTGACAGTTCATAGTCAGTCAAGTATAAGTTTTATGCATACAAACCCGGTACAATTGCCGATTTAAAGGACAATATTCGTGAAACCATTGGTGAAATTCAGGTGCAAAGATCAGCCTAGGCAGACATTTGAATGAAATTATTATACCCTACGACATTATGTGTTGGTGGGGGTATCATAAGTTTGATTGGGACAAAATTATGTAACACCTCGAATTATTGGTTTCCCACATAGGAAAGTATATATGGATCTTCATATCTCGCCGAACTGAGTCGATCAACCTATGTCCATGTTAACTTGTAATCACTCTACAGGTAACAATAATGGCTCGATTTTCACGAAATTTAAAATGGAGGTGTGGTCATGGTGATGGAGATGATCGCACAACATTTAGGGGTTGAAAAGGACCAAAAACTGAAAAATTTCCTGATTTTGCAGTTACTCTACAGTCCGCAATTATAGACCAATCGAAGCGGAAGTTAACATGGGACTAGAGCTTAGGCCTGGGCAGAAGCCTTCCAAAAGTACAATTTTCCATTAAACCGCGAATATTTTTAATCCCGGCGAAACCATAAATAGACGAATAGGTCAATTCTGACCGTTACGCAGATCCCGATAGTAAATAAATCGGATATATATACCGAAATATATACAATGTATATATACGAAGAAAGGGGATGTTAGCTAGAATGCTAATATCTCAAGAAAGGCGGGACCGATTTCGACAAATTTTGTCAATTCAGAATGCTCTCTTGGCGTAAAGGAATAAAATCTAAGAAATCGCATAAAAAGATACCAATAATGATGTTAATATATATTTTATGACATTTTTATTTTTTCATATTTTTTATCGCATGCGATTTTTCAATTTGACTTTTGACTTTTTTTGTAATATTTTTATACATCACAACACAGTATACAGATTGCAATTATCGTTCGATCCTCACAAAAATTTTCACGAGAATAGGGTTAGGCTCAGAAGGGCTAGGCCTATTGTTTTCAAAGATGTCCGCAATATATTTAGAGGTTGAAAAGGACCAACAACTAAAAATGTTCCTGATTTTGCAGCCGTTATAAAGGTTATAAATAGAAACTTTAGGACACGAAATCTCGCATGAAGTTAGAGTTTAGGACAGCGGGTAGAATGGACCACTATTTTTGTGTGAAACATTACTTACAGGCGATATCTGAAATACACAAAAGGCGAACTTCTGGCTTTTTATGTTGATTTCATTGACGAATATAGTCAAATATCGTAGACAAGCAAATCATATAGGTGAGTCTAAATTTAGAGATAAAGAGGACCTCTTGCTTTTAGGGATGATCGCAAAATATATAGGGGTTGAAATGAACCAAAAACAGAAAAAAAAAACGGAAAATAGCGTTAAGGACAGAGAAGAATTTTAACATTTTGGATGACCATTGGATTATATTTAGCTAAAAAACGAACCACAACAACTAACAGCACGACGGAGTGCGTTAATATTGGGCAAATGTCCCTGGTCAAAATGCTAAGGGTAATATCTGGGCAGTGCATCGTAACATAATTTTAAAAGCGAAATCTTCCAAAATGGATTTGGACATAAGAGGGCTTCTAACATTTCTAGTGTTGTAGGGTATCACATGGTCGGCCCCGCACGACTTTAGTCTTAGCTTACTTGTTTTTATATATTATTTATTAGAAAAAATAATTTTAAGAAAATATTCAGTACTTATTCTATAGTATTTTTTTAAGTTATTTGACGGACACTGTCTTATGGTACATAATTTTTTTCCCAATTTACAGTGTCATGAAAAAATCAAAATTTTTATTAATGGTGCCATGAATACTGAAAACAACAGAACGAAAATATATTTTTTTTTTTGCTGTATTTTCTCTAAATATCCTACTCAGTAGTATTATTAAAATAAGTGCCTTGTTTTGTGTTTTAAATATAAATAATAATTTATTTAACAATGTAGAATATATGTTTTTCGTTCATTGAAATAAATATTTTCGATTAAAATCAACAATGATGGGAAAATGTGTGCCTTAATGATGATAAGCAACAGCGGGTGTACCGTAAGATGTATAATGGGTAACTGGAGCAGATTTGACATAGGTAGGAGCAGCATAGTGGGCTACAGGGGCGGTGTAATGGGGAGCAGCATAGTGGGCAACTGGAGCCACGGTCTTGACAACAGCAGCGGGAGCGGCATAATGGGCAACTGGAGCAACAGTCTTGACAACAGCTGGGGCAGCATAATGAGCCACAGGGGCAACAGTCTTGACAACAGCAGCGGGTGCGGCATAGTGAGCTACGGGAGCAACTGTTTTGACAACAGTTGGGGCAGCATAATGAGCAACGGGAGCAACAGCAACAGATTTGACCAAAGGTTCACGATGGACAACAGCATTGAAACCATTGACAGCATCGGCGGTGTATTGAACAGTACGTTTGTAGCCATCAGCATCAATCAGGGAGTATTCACCACGGACAACGTCACCATCACGTTCTTCGAATTGGCTCTTCGAGTCACCGGTCAATTTGTCATCGACGCCATAGCTGAATTTGTATTGGGGATGTGGATCGTATTCCTCGGATTTGACAACGACTTTCTGGGCAACAGCTACTGGAGCAGCATGGACGGCGTGAACAGGGGCTGTATGGTAAGCAGCTGGAGCGGCATGGTAAACAGCTGGAGCATAACCAGCGCTGGCGGCAGCAACGAAAGCCAGAGCGAAGATAAACTGAAAGATAAAATTTACAACTCATTAAAGTTTGGCGGTTTTTCGATTTAATGACAAACGTTTTTGTGAAGTTTGTCGTCGTCTAAGCAAATTGCCATTGTTGCTGGTAATGCTGGTGATTTTGGAGTTTTGCTTTTCAACCATCCATCTTACCTTGTATGCCATGATGTAGAGTTTGATTGTTTGCTGACTAGCTGGTTAGCGTGTTGTTGGTTCGGATTGAGTTGGTTCTTTGCAGAAATAAGCACAAGAAGCGAATGATACAGTTTTGTGATTTTCGTCAACTTTTATAGCAATTATTTTGGCTGTTGTTAAAGAGTATCGAAATTCAATTACACTTCATTTGCGCGGTCTTGAAGTTACAAAGTCATTTCATTCACAATTATATTTTTTCTTTGATAAATTAAATTTGAGAGTGGGGCAAAAAGAGAGCTAGCACCATATAAGGAACAATTAATTCTTGCAGATTTCCGGTTTAGAATACAACAACAGAAAAAAAACATAACTTCTAATGTGTGCGGAGTGTAAGGTGAGGTATTATGCGCCATATCATTGAGTGGAATTGTAACCCTTATATGATGGGTTTAATTATTTTTATGATCAGATTTGGTTATTGTTAATAAATAAATCAAAGCGTATGTGAGCTGTAGGATGGGGGCAATCAATGTGGGTGACAGTAATAAATAGCAAATTTTATACTTGTTTTGGAATTGGAGTACAAATAATTTGGATTAATTTAGGAGGGGAAATTAATAATATTTTTTTTCGAACTTTGCTTCTGTGTCAGGAAAGTTCGTATAGAAATTTTCATAAACTTTTTCAAAAGTTCGTATAGAAATTTTCGATTTTGCCGACAGATGTATACCCTCAGCCAATGTATGTTTGTTTTAATACACATATATTGTGTTATATACTTATGCAATGATTGTTCAAGCTCTTGACCCATTATGGGGGAGGTTCTGAAAGGGATGGCCAATATTATGAATTTCGTATCAGATCAAAATTTAATATTAAATACTAAAAGGTGCCAGATTTGGTCTATGTCGATTACTTCCTGTACTTTATATGTGGTATGTGATAATTTGTGGAAAATGTTCAAATTTTTTTCATGTACCATGTACAGTGGATAGAAGAATTTAACTTCATCTAATACTGACCAAAATACTTATTATATCTATGGTTAACAGAAATATTGAGATACGCGAAGTCTACTGAAAATCGCTGACTTGCTTTCCATATTATAAGGCTTATAATTATTCAAAATGTCGTCTTGTGAGGAAGTTACCAGAAGAAGTGGACTGATAAATTCCATATTCACACCAGAGCTCTGGTTGAGGGTAATATATACAGGGTGAGATAAAAAACTGTAACAAAGTCAAATGCCATAATTCTTAATTTTTTTTTTTAAATTTTATTAAATGAAAGCAAAAATATCAGAAATGCCATCTAATTTTAGAATATGTTTAGATTTGTTCGAATTAGTCACCTTTGTCACGAATTATGGCCTTCAGACGGTCAATGAAACCGTCACACGCTGCCCGAATGTTGGTCTGCGGTATTTTGGCTCATTCCCGGCGAAGCGCTTGCTTGAGGTGATCGACACTTTGGTATTCTTTAGTGCCAACCCTGCTTTCCAAAATACTCCAGACACTGCGGATACCAACGAATTGGTATCCGCAGATTTTGGTGACCATTGTGCGCTGGAAATGATGCAAGGAATCTCATTTTGTAACTATTTTTTGGTGGCGCATGCTGAGTACGATGGTGCTGAGCCCTATTGGAAGGTCCAAGGTCTGCGGTCAAAATATTTGCGTTCCCAAGGCTTTAATACACCCTCCAGAATACAGATTGAGATGAAAAAACGGCAACCAAATTCAGACTGCTGTCATTTACAAGCCACTCGTACGATGGCTGTTAAAATTATTCCAATGACAGCTCATTATATTGTTTATATGCGTATAACGACAGTTTGGTGAGAACTTTCCAAAAAAATAAAGTTATTCGCGATGGAATTCAAGCGTGATAGTGTGATTTATTTATATTTGGCTGGAAACCAACAAGTGGCTATCGTTAGAGAATTCCAGCATTTAAATGTAAAAAAATCTGTTGTGTCTCGTACCATCGCTTGTTGCCGTGGTAACAAGTAGCGTAGCCCGACGTCAAGGAAGTGGACGGAATAAAACAGCAACATCAGCAGAAATGGTTCGAAAAGTAAAGAAGCGACTTGATCGAAACCCGCGGCGCAGTGGCCAAAAAATTGCTAGTGAGCTGATATTCCATTCGGCAAATATTGAAAAATGATCTCGGGGTAAAGACATTGAAATTTCCAATAAGTGCAAAAACTTACACCGCAACAGAAAGAAAATAGACTCAAAAGAGATAAAGGGTTGCTTCGCTTGGCCGAAAGTGGTGAACTGCCGAATTTGGTTTTCTCCGATGAGAAAACATTCGTTGTCCTTCAGTTTGTAAACAAACAAAATTACCAAAATTACCAAAGAGGTCAGCTGAAAGTGTGCACCTTCGGTTGGCCATGGTGATGGTGTGGGCCGACATAAAAGCCGATGATCGCTCTCCGCTCGTATTAATCGACCGTGGCATCAGAATAAATGCCGAATATTATCGCGAAAATATTCTGGATGGCGTATTAAAGCCTTGGGCACGCAAACATTTTGGCCGCAGACCTTGGACATTCCAACAGGACTCAGAACCATCGCACTCAGCACGTGCTACCCAAGAATGGTTACAAAATGAGGTTTTTCGCTTCATTTCCAGCTCACAATGGTCACCAAAATCTCCGGATACCAATCCGTTGGCCAATAGTGTATCTGGAGTATTTTGGAAAGCAAGGTTGGCATTATAAAGTGTCGATCACCTCAAGCAAGCGCTTCGCCGTTTGAAGGCCACAATTCGTGCCGAAGTTGACCAATTCGAACAAATCTAAACGTATTCTAAAATTTGATGCTATCTCCAAAAATTTTTTATTTTCATTCAATAAAAATCAGCAGATATTCTGTATTTTGATGGTTTATGACCTACTTTTCAATTTCGTATTTGGAGTTTAAACTAGGTGCTACTACCATTAACAAAAAATTACTTATGAAAGTCCAAATTTACGTATTGCCCCCTAAATTTTGGCCTCTTGAAGATATTTGGTACACATATCAAAATAATTGTCTTCAATCAAAATAATTGTAATTCTTTCTATAACAGAAATTTCCCGCACAGATCCACTCCTTTGTAAAGCTCCCATATAACGGTTCCTCCCAATATTCGGTATTCTGAGGATTTTAGCTACATTTTTCAATTGAATTATAACTAACTCGGTATTTGAAGTTCGAAATAGGCACCTTGCTCGCTGGAATATAATTGGTTATGAAAATCAATCCATGTAACACCTGATATTTCAAATTTGTAAAATTTTAGAGACATTGTTCAATGAACTTTTAATAATTTTAAAAGTCCCTTCCAAATGTTAAGGTTATTAAAGGGTCGACCGAACTTAGGTGATTTTCATACCTCCACCATAGTATGGAGGGTATATTAAATTTGTCATTCCGTTTGTAACACCTCGATATATGCATTTTAGACCACACAAAGTATATATATTCTTGATCAGCATAAAATTCTATGTCGATTTAACTTTGTCCATCCGTCTTTGAAAATCACTCTAGCTTCCGAACCAAATGAAGTAGGTTGATAAAATTTTACTCAAATGTATATTATGTCTGCAGGACTATTGAAAATGGGCCATGTAGGTCCACGTCTTCGTATATCCCCCATATAACGGTACTTCCCGATATTTGGTATTTTAATGATTTTAGCGACATTATTCACCGGAATGGTTTCAAATTTGGTATTAATTGTTCGCAATAGATACTACAGTCTATGACAGAAAATTGTCTGTGCAGGTCCACGTTTTGGTATAGCCCCTATATAATAGTACCTCACTATATTCGGTATTCTTATGATTCTGATGATGAATATTGCCAAATTCGTTCCAAATGGTGGAGGTTAATCGAAGTTCAGCCCAGCCTTATAGCCCTTATAATTATTATACCCTACAGCTCAAGGTGGTCAGGGTATTATGTCTTTGTGCATTTGTTTGTAACATGGAGAAGGAAGCGAGATAGACCCATAGTTACTTTTGAGGATCTCCATAGAATCACTTTCTGAGTTGATTTATGCATGTCAGTTCGTCTGTCCATGTATTCTTGTGAACAAAATGCAGGTCGCATTTATTATCCGATTGAGATGAAATTTTCCGATTGAGATGAAATTTTTGGCCCAAGGACGAACCCTATTTAAATTGGAGATAATCGGTAAAAATTTAGATATAGCTCACATATATATCTTCGTCCGATTTGCCTTTTATTGTGCACCAAACGTCTAATATTTGCCCAAATGGGATGGAATTTTGCACATACGACCGAATTAAGTCTAGAAGGTAGTATGTCAAATTTGGATCGGTTCAGATATAGCAATAGCTCCCATATATATTGTTCATCCGATTTGTTATTTTTGTCCTTCGCAGCCGTAATATGCACTCTGTAACAACAATATTTAGGGAAATATGTCAAATACAGCTCAGAAATACCTTAGGTAAATTTTATCGAGATCGGTTCAGATTTGGATATAGCTTCCATATATAACTTCGTCCGATTTGCCTTTTATTGTGCACTAAACGTCTAATATTTGCCCAAATGGGGAGGAATTTGGTAGAAGGTAGTATGCTAAATTTGATGAAAATTGGTTCAGATATAGCTAAAGCTCCCATCAGATATAGCTATAGCTCCCATATATATTGTTCATCCGATTTGTTGTATTTGTTACCCACAGCCGTAATATGCACTCCGTAACAACGATATTCAGGAAAATATATCAAATACAGCTCAGAAATATCTTTGCCAAATTTTATCGAGATCGGTTCAGATTAGGATATAGCTCTCATATATATCTATATGTGATTTCCATTAATTTTGCACCAAATGGGCAATACAAGTCCGAATTTAAAAGATACAAATGCGTTTGCATATTTTGTCCTTTGAACTTTAAATTATAATTATAATCATAGCGTGTATGATTGAATTCTCCCATAAAAACTTTTAATTGTTATGCGCAGCTCTACTAAATTTGCAAAGTGGTGTAGGGTATTTAAAAATCGACCCCGCCCGATTTTAGGACATTCTTTACTTATTTTTAATTGTTTTTCTTTTTATTGAGGCTCGCGATTGAAAATGTTTCTGAA